TTTCACCAGTAAACTCTAAGTTTAGTGATGAGAAATAAAAGAAATTGCAGTCCTCCCCATCTTGTTTCTCCACCTTCTTGGTGTATCTCAGTTGCATAAACAAAATTACTTTGCAGCTCCAGAAGACAGTTTCATGAAGTGCCAGGCATTATAATTGAAAATTCAAAATAAAATAAAAAAGACCAGAGCATGAGCAAAAAGGGAGGAAACCTTTTCAGAACATATTTGTTCTAAATACAGACAGGCAGAAGAACCAGGGTCTGTCCAGTATATTAAGTTTGAAACTTAAGAAGGAACACATATTAAAAATAAAGCTCCAGCAATGAAAGGAGAAATAAAATGTCTGTCCTCCAAGTTTCGGCTAAGCTCTGTAGAAGGGTTGCCATCTGTTGCTATGACTTAGCCTTTCCTCTCTACCTCCTCTGTCCTACGCTTCCTGAGCTGCTGTGATTGCCTGTAACATCTACACATGGTGCCAGGGAACACAAGGTAGACCCACTGAGGAACAGAGATTTCTCTAGTCATGCTCACATCTGCTATCTGACAGCTGCCTTAATGAATAGGGTCTGGCTCATTACAGGGAGATGGTTTCGAATGAGTACTCCCATTAAAAACCACAAATTTGATTGTGAAGGCACCAGATACAGTGAATAAAAGTTTGTTTGCTTTTAAATAAAAGTTGAGTGTTCTTGATAAGCAGTGTGAGATGGGACAACATCTAAAAATACCTGAAAGCATTTCAGTTACTGTTACTGCCTTTGAATGCTAAACAGGGGATTGAATTTTAGTCTGTCAGATCTTTGTAAAACAACAAAATCTCTTGTGCCTGCGGGAAAGTGACTTCAGATTCATACTAGCCTGGTTGAATGCCCGGTCCTATCTAATACGTAGCCCCAAGAATGCTGCAAGCCTAAAGTGAAGCACATGTGGGTGGGGTTTTAGGGGTCTGGGGTTTGTGGTTCTTCTTTAGATAACAGCCTAAAAGTGGTTTCTGGCCCACTGTTTTGAAGATGTCTGCTCAAAAATCTTTCTGCTTCAGAGGAGATAACTCCTGTGTGCTATATGCTCCCCTGTGTCTGTGTTTATGCTGGATCTGCTGCGATCTGTAACGCAGAAATCACAGTACTCCATTACAGGAGGCACTCGTCTAGGCCAGGGTCCTGGCTTTGCTGGTGCCGCATCACCTGCTCCAGGAGAAGGTAGAAAATTGCTCGTAATGAATGACTGCACAATAACCTGTCTTCAGGGGAATTTGTTGTTTACTAATCCCATCAATTAGTGTTGGGTTTATGCCTTGAAGCAGAAAGATTAATATCTCTTGTATAATACATCTTGTCTACTGCATCTGTTTCTGTTCTCATTAGCTATAGTAAGGCATAATCCTTTTGTTTTAAAATGGAAATTAGAAACAGTGAGAAATAAGAAAATACCTGTCAAGAGATTTTTGTTCCTTTTTCCTGTCAGTTGCCATAGGGTACCTGTCTGTTGTATGTGCCACTGTGTGGTTTAGCCTCATTCCTCCGGGTTTCAGGTGTTTATTTCTGAGGTCTCACTGCTGTCCCTGGACACCCTGCTACCTGCAGTCACGTTAGAGCTGGATAGGAAAGGGAATATCAGCTCAGCGTGCTCCGACATGCCATGTCCCATACAGCCCCAGAAATCAGATTTGCTTTTTGCCGCTGTGTCACATTACAAGTTGACACCTGCTGTGTTGCACTAAGCTCACCTGAGATCTTTTTCGCTTTTATTGGTTTTCTTTGCTACTAAATAACTATGTTTGGAACTTGTTTTGCTCCAGAAGTATGAGCTGCTATATAATTAATAGGATTTTATTTCCTACCCATATCTTTACCCTCTCTGGATCTTTTGCATTGTTTTCTGGCTCTCATTTTTACTTGCAATAATTCCTTATTTACTGCTATCTGTAAATTTAATTATTGTGTTTATATTTACATTGCCTTCCACACTGTGAGTAGAAATCCTGACCTCACAGTAGTCAGAGGTTTAGCATTGACTTTGATAGATCTGGGGCTTCTGTTCTTCAGTGATATTGACCCCTGTTTCACTCCACTCAAATTCCCTGAAACTCGTTATATCTCAGTTTTTAAAGGCTTATCTGCATGAGGTGGAGAGTCACTGGGACTGGCAGTGTTCAGTAACTTTGGGCTGCTGGACTCAGGTGAGTGTGTGGTTGGTAACTGGGAACTGCAAAGCCAACCACCCTCACAGTTGGCCCATTTTTCTGCTCTTCATACATCAATGTCCTGTATCATAAATACCCAGGTCAGGAGCATGCGTATCTCACCACTTGGCAATAAATCTCAGGTCTGGTGGCACAGGTGCTGTTTACCAACTTAGGGAAAAAATACTACGCCCTACTGGTGTTTGTGTTTTCTTTGTATGCTTGTATCCTCTTCCCATCTCCCTTGCTGACCGTGCAGTCTGGAGCACCTCCGGACTTCATGTTCTTCATCATCTCTTATACTTGTGCTAATCAGATATCAAACACTGTGGTGCAGAATCATGCCCTCCATCAGAGTCCTAAAATTTTACAGTGAACAAAATTTTGCCATGGACCAGTGACTGAACTTCATTTTACTTTGAGACAACTTCAGTTGGTTTGATTTATCAGTACTCTATTATCTTAATGGCCTTTTGGCTTTTTTTAACCACATGTGTAGTGCTCAGATTCTGGAGGATTTTAACTCATTTTTCACCTAAAAGACACTGTATGAAGTTTTTTACGGCAATCATGATATATTCACTCCTATATTCTTTTTGAGTGCTGGTTTTGTAATGCAGTCCAAAAAACTGTGGTAATTTGTATTTTATTCCTTCCTTCTTCACAGGTCAGTAGTCTTTTAGATGAAGGTAGGTTAACCAGATGATTAAGTCTATAGCTTGTCATAGCTGTAGCTTTCCAGGCAAATACTGTAATTTTGAAAGATCATTCTCATAAAACATTATGTTATTTGAAATTTCTTTAATTTGGCTGTATGAGAGTGTTCAAGTATCCATTAATGCACAAGGTAGATGACCATTAAAAACCACCACCACATTGTGAGTGTTTTTTAAGCTTCTTATTGCTCTTCATGAAAAAAAAATGTGTTCTCTTAGTCAAAAACTGCTCAATGATTTATTCAGTTCACTCCTGCAAGAGAGTGATCCCTGATCTACTAAATCTGAATCCAGAGATCCCTACAGCATGCAAGAGAAGCTGGACTGGGTACTCTACATGCTAGTGTTTAATTTCTTTTGTGTACTCTTTGTTAGGCTAAAATAGCAGGCATAATACATGATAGCTGTCCAGATTGTTATATTTTACATCTTTTTTGAAAGGCAGCTATCGCAGCTGTTTATTTCCAGTCCACGGCTTTTCAGAAACAATCGTTAAGTCATTTAGTAAACTCATCAGTTAATTTCCACAGATGCATATCATCTGGATTTACTGATTTGCATAGATTTAAATTTTTCCATGCCAGACCTTTTTTTTTTAACTCAAATGTTATAGAAACCTCCCACAACATCCGTAGCAACAAGAGATTTTTGAAAGGTGCTTTCGTCCCACTTTGAAAAGGGATTTCTCGAAAGTTTGTGGTTTATTTTCTGTGGGATTAATGGATTATTCATGGATAATTAAGGTGGGCAAAATTAGGATGTGCCTGTGGACGTAGCCAGAATAGGTGCAATAAACTGAATATCAAAAGAGTTTCTGTCCTAATTGGGCCTCCTTGAAAATGTTATCTAAGATTACAGCTTCCCACCCACCCCCCTTCTTTTTTTTTTTTTTTTTGGTAATGGCATGACCTGCAGAAATAAACAATATTTAATGTTATCTCGACTAATTCCACTAAGACCAATACAGATGTAAATACAAGTATTTGTAAATGCAACAGGGGATTGAACCCTTAGCTGGAGCAGAAGATGGCAAGTCCTGTAGGCAGATCTAGAGTTTAAGTGCCGATCCCCTAGAATGCCTAATCTCCTGCTTGCTGGTTTCTGGATCATGAATTTGTCCTCTGTATTATTTAGGGAGGCAGTTGATGAGGCACATTCAGCTGTATTTGTCATACACCAGATGTCAGGATAGTTAAAGTCACTCATGCTTCCTCCGATTTTAAGCTCCTCAGCAGTTGGTCTGGGATAGTTCACATGTGCGCGCACACGCACACACTGTCATTTACAGAGTACAGCATTGCAATGTATCCTATGTATTTATATGATTTCCCATATCACCCATTCCTAGTGACTGGTTTTGAGTGCTCTGGACAATACCCACTCTGGGTAACTGAACAACTCTGGGTTATAACTAGAAATCTGAGGCTTTGTGAGCACCTTTTACCCTCTGCCCTATTCCTTACCATCCCTTCACCCTTTCTACCCCCTCACTGGTGACACCTGCTCCCGCAGGCATATTTGCAATAGTCATTCTATTAGATCTGAATATCTTTTAAGTAAAATGGAGTATTAGCGGTTTTGGTGATGGGTCTGAACCCAAACTGCATGTCTCAGATGTACTGTATACCACTTAGGAGGTTTCAGATGTTCTCATTAGGTCACTCTCTTCCTCTCTTCTGCAGTTCTCCATGTCCAGACAGTAAATAATTCTCACACGAGATGCTTACAAGAGCCACTGCTCGTGTTTGTACGCTGCTAAACAACTGCCAAAGGCAGCAGTGGCACATTTCGGCAGTGGGTGAAGTGAAGCCTCTGCGAATGGTCAGCAAGGATCCTTCAGAGTGAAGGGTGCTCAGCAAGTGTGGTCTGTAATTTGCTGCCACCTAAACCTGCATTATGACAATTGAGTGATATCTGGGGAGAAAAAAAGCCAACCCACCACAAATTGGGATTTGGAAGACAAAACAAAAACTGCCACACAGTCTTTGCTTGCACAATCTTTTGATTTTAAGAGAAGGATTTTTTTTTTAATTATTTCTACATACCTGAATGTACCTTTTTCAACTCACTTTAACATATCCATCTTTCTGCCCCCTTGTCAGGCCACCTGTCGAAGACAGCCAGACCCTGCTGACGCCGGTGGTGAGCTGCGGCCCACCAGGAGCGCTGCTAACCCGGCCCGTCATTTTGACCATGCACCACTGCGCAGAGCCCAACACAGAGGACTGGCAGATCCAGCTGAAGCACCAGGCTGCCCAAGGGCCGTGGGAGGTGAGGCTCCGGAGCACCAGCCTGGGTGCTGCCTGCAAGCAGGGGTCTCTGCTCATCCTTCTGCTGCCTTTACGCACCAGGGTGACTGTATTTCCGGTTTCCTGTGCGAGATGCATGGCTGCTGCGGGCAGGCAGGAGTGCAGCAATCTAAGCTGCCCAGTGCCTGTACGGAGATTGCTGTCTTGGGGCAGTTTGTTGCCTCCTAGTTCTGGCTGTTTTCATGGAAATTCATGGAAGCCTTCATCACAGGATTTTGACACTTGAGCTTTTGGTTGTGGCAGGATGTTGTGCTGAAGTTAGGGGAAGAGAAGGCCAGATAAAAAAACATGCCTGAAAATAATTTCTGGATCAATTCTAGAAGTATGGGGAAGTTTTTTACGGAGTATTTGAACTCCCGTGATTTATAGTCTGTTTTCAAGAAAGTGAAAATAATGCTGCAAATGAAGGCCTGCTTCAGCATCAGCCAGCTTAAAATAATTTATAGGCCTTACTTTTCTTTTTTTTTTTTTCACTCCTAAAGTGTTGGAGCATCACTTTGATTCAGTTCATGCAGCTGCGCTCCAACTCTGCACCCTGTTAACCCGGGAGCTGCACAAGCGTTGTTGGGCAGCGCAGGCTTGGTGGGAGCTTGGGGTGGTTCCTTGCCAATAGTGCAGCAGGAGGCTGCCCTGGGGCAGGGAGGCAGAAGGGTCTTCCACTGTAACTGGAGCATAAAGTGATACTTTGAACAAGGCTGGGCCATCCTGGCAGAGCCTTCCTCTCCAGATCTGCCCTCCTAGGTACCTGTTGCCACCAGTTTGGTCTCAGGTAATTAATTTGGCAAGGGCACTTTCTCCTACCAGTAGGTTTAATGAGGGCATGGTGGCTTTGAAGGCAGTTGGGCTGACAGCAGTGAGAGCGCTGCGTCCGGCATTGCCTTCTAAAGGCTCCTGCTTTTGCCCCCTGCCTGTGGCACTGGCTCTTCCTCATGCTGGGAGGGAGTGTACAGCGAACATGGGTCTGTCTCGCCAACTAATCTGCATCCCACCGGCCTGACTCTTGGCACCACACCTATGTTCCTTATTTGTGTCTGTGTGTTACTGGCACCTCTTCATTTTCTCTCCCGTCCTCCTCCTGCCCTTGACAGAGCGGTGGCTTTGCCAGCCTTGCACACACTCTGGTGCCAGTGCAGCATCCACAGGGTCCCTGGCCATCGCGCCACCATCTTCTTCCTCTGCTCAGTTCTGGAGCAGTTCCTCCACGCTGAGCCCCACACATGTGTGCACAGATGCAGACACACGTGTGCACGCACACCCACACGCACACCCCTGCAGCATCGCTCAGGGCCAGCGCCTCCTGCCAGAGCTAGTTGCTGGCATGGCCATAGCGGGGTGCAGTCAGCCCTGCAGCACCTTGCCCTCCAGAAGGGATTGTGCCACCCCCGCAAACATGGCACGTTCTCCTTTCCTGAGACTAGGGAGCCCAAGCTTAATGGCAAATTTCAGTTGAGATCACGCTGCTCAGCTGCCAGATGTGTACGTTGTGCTGCAGACCTGCAGGCAGCCAGGATGAAACAGATGAGTAGTGCCGAGCATCATGTGGTGCTTGGTGGCTTTGCAAGAGGTGGCCGTCACCCACTGCTGCCTTTTTGTTTCTGCTTTCACTCAAAGCCATTCAAAGCACTTTGTGTTGTGTGCAGTATTTTACATGCAGAGTTGAATGGAGAAATTAGCAGGGGAGCTGTTTTCCTTTCTGCACAGGGTGGAGAAGTTGTTTGCATTCGAGCAGTATGTATGTTTTTTCTTCAGCCTGCAGTCTCGTCACAGAGGATTATTTCGATGAAGCAGCAGGTGATACTTCATGTAGAGGTGGCATTCGGCCATCGTAGAGGTTACTTCCCTTCTTTGAGTTTTCGTAACTCCTTATTGTCGTTATTAGGATGTGAAGGGTTGGTTTTTATTCAACATGCCTGTGACTACTCACGTTAAATTATGGTCACTGAATGGTTAGTCTGCAATGTCTTTTTCAAAAAAATGTTGGTGATATTTTAATTATTTCCCAAACTCTGCCAAGGGCTTTAAAAGCTGCTGAAGTGCCCAAAGGCACAAGTCTTAGGGGAGTGAGGACAGGAGGAGGCATTCTTACCACTATCATCACCACCAGCTCCCCAGAGAAATCATCCCTTCCCCATCCCTACGCAAGGGAAAAGCTGGAAGCAGGAATTTTAAATCTTGATTAAAATAAGGTGCAAACATCAAGGACTTTTTGTGCATATCCAGGCTTGAAAGGGACATTGCAGTCTCAAAGGAGAGCAGCTCTGAGGGGCTGGGAGCTCTAACTGGCCCTCTTTCTTCCTTAGGATGTGGTGGTGGTCGGGGAGGAAAACTTCACCACTCCATGCTATATCCAGCTGGACCCGGAGGCCTGCCATATCCTGACAGAAACCCTCAGCACATATGCCTTGGTGGGACAGTCAATCACCAAAGCAGCAGCCAAACGTCTCAAACTGGCCATCTTTGGACCGCTATCCTGCTCTTCGCTGGAGTACAGCATCCGGGTCTACTGCCTCGATGACACGCAGGATGCCCTTAAGGTTGTTGTTGCTCTCTCGCTCGCTTTCCCTCTCCCTCTCCAGCTCTCACAGGACTTCGGTGACTAGACCCTCTGCTGTGTGTATTTCTGTCCCCTGAGTTATTTTCTGATTAGAAGAGCTTGCCAACAAGTTACCATTTTACAGTTTAACCCCTGCACACTATAAATTGTCCTTTGCACAGGGATGTCACATTATTTTCCGCCCACCAGTCTTTTTTCCTTTGTTTACCTGTATCATATCCTGAATCCTAAGATTTTTGCATTATTAAAAGGCCATAAGATACACGGGCCTTCATTCGTTATTCATGTATTTTTAATGCTAAGTGCCAGCTCCCTAGAGATAGGGAAACATATAAATGCCTCTTTGTAAATAGTTGATAATGATAAAAGAAGCTTCTGGGCTGTTAATCACTGCCTGCTTTCATACTGCTTTATTACACCTCTTCGTGTGCAGCTTCTTTGTGTTGAGAATTTGCAGCTAAAATAAACCAAAGCTGTTGCTTTCTCTAACTGTGTAACCTTACTCACTGTGTAATTCTGGCATGTACGCAAACACACACTCGCTACATACAGATGAGCAGGCAGATAACCATACTTGCTATTTCTCTTTATAAATACGTGTATTTATACAGGTGGTACCTATAATAGATGCACTCATGAAGTATGTAGCTCCAGTTGCACATGTAAGAATGGAGGTTGTTAAGAGGTGTTTTTTCTCCTTTAATTGGAACCAGTGCAACTTCCCAAATTCCTTTTTGCAGCAAAACAAGTTCAAAGCCTGACTAAGCAACAGCATCCTGGTGCTGTATATGCTTTTGGTTCCTCAGCTCTACAGGGGGATTACAGGGATTCAAACCCACATACACTGGCAGGGAGACACTGGTGTTTTTTGGAGCAGTGGCTTCCATCACTGCGACTGGCACGCTCTGTTTTCTTCCCAAATACTATGTGATATGGGGGCCTGCCTGGCTAGTCTTTGCCCAGGTTTTGCTGGGAGGGTACTCTTTCACTATGTGTAAGAAAGGCAGTAAAACATAAAGGTTGAAGCAGACGCATTGTGACTTCAGCATGACTTTGTCTGTACAGGGCCTGGGAGCTTGGCTTCTGTCAGTGCGATGGTGTTATCAGGCCTTTAGAAACAATTATTTCCTCTGGCCTAATTTCCCAATTTTTATTTTCCTCTTTAAAAAAACCAAGTGAAAAGTGTCTTTTGTAGTGATCAAGCTTCAAAAGTCCTGATGGTTTTATGCCTGTGATATGTAATACAATTTTCCACGGGTTTGTGAAGGCCTGAGGTACTAATAAGTGACTCGGAGGGGCCTTGGACAGACAGCTAATGTGGTCAGAGCTGAGGGAATCTAATTAGGTGCTACTCAAGAACTGTTGGTTTGTTTCTAATAGACTGTGGGGAGAGTTGTGAGGCAAAGTTAATCCGATTCGGTGTGATAGCAGAAGGGATCAGGAGAGCTGCTGAGCAACATGGAGGGACTGTCTTCCACTTGAGAAGCTGCAGCCAGCGTCTGGCAGAGGAGCAGGCCAGTCCTTGGGCTTCTGCTGCAGGTAGACCCCAAAGTGAGCTTGTAATTTGGTGAGGAAAGGACAGCAGAGTCAGGCGGCCACCGTCCCTCTCGTACCTACTGCTTTGTTCTTCTTTTTGGTACATCTCCCCCAAGACAGGAAGGCCACCCATGGCGTTCAAAACCCAGCTACCTGGTGTTTTACAGGAGGACAAGCACATGTACTTGCTGGCTGCAAACTCTTACAAATGTATCGGTTGTGCTTTTCTGGAAATTAAAGGTTTGAGGATGGAGAAGCTTTAAGAAAAACAAAGCTAGTGAACTAGCTGTAGATGAAACGATTGAACATGGACTGGTGTGTACGAACCAACCCTGGGTGCTGGTGGTGTGTAGACTCAAACTATGACTACTTAGAAAGAAGAAAAAAAAAGGCTGTGATGTTTGGTGTGTGCTTTCACAAGAGCTGGCATCACAGCAGACCCAGCCATGCTGGAAGGAGGTCCTTGGCACTGCCATATTGCCAAAGGGAAGGCGTTCACTGGGCAATTACTGCTGGCTGTGCAGGACAAGGCGTGCAGAGAGGGCTGGACCAGCAGGTCCTGAGGTTGAAAGTAATTTGGAGAGGCTGGGAAGGTTGCAGGCAGCAAGCAAGGCACCAGCTGCAACATCTCGGTGTCTTGGGGCTGGCTGCTCCAGGCCACTCACAGCAAGGGAAAGGAAGAGCAGCGTGAGTTGTTCCCACATTGGGATGTCTGAGGTTTGGAAGAGCCTTTGTAGGGAATTATGAGGTTTTTTTAATAGGAAACCAAATGGATTCTGTTATTATTTACAACTAGGAATGAGTGTGCCATATGCTGAATGTGTCCTAACAGCCACAAGCAGTTGTGGTATAAAACTCAGTGCAGTATTTATCCAGCAGGCTTTTCCTCTCATCATGCAGAGTAAGCGTTTGCTGCCGAACTGCCGGCACCCGCAGTACAGTAGGAAAGTGTAATGACTTGTCATCAATAAGGGCTCAGTAATTGTGGGAGCGGTTTGGCGGGGTTCCCGGGAGCTGCGGAGCAAAGTGGGCTCAGTGCTGATCACGCACACACCATCCTCTGCCCTGCAGAGTCCCAAGCCACTCAGACAGGATGCTCTCAAAAATGCTTTTTGGGGGAGGGCGAGGGTAGCTGGGACCTTGAGCACTGGCCTCTCATATTAAGGCTGATTTTTGCACTTTGAGGGGGATGCCCAAATTAGTCTGCTATAAAGAAAAAAAAGTAATAATACACTAACTATAAACAAATCCAGCTGCTTTATTCTCTGTTTATTCATGTATGGCTTTGAGATTGAGGTTTGTGAGCTGTGTGCAGCAGCATGGCAGGGGCCGAGCAGCCAGGCGCACAGAAATGGCTGCCTCCCACACCGGGGGCAAGTGAATGATTGCAGGTTGTAGCAGGGTGCCATCCCCCAACCTGCCTGGTGCTATGCAGTAACTATCCTCGAAAAAAAAAAACCAAACCCCACACCAGAAAAAGGCACAACAGACAGATGATCTTCTCTCAGTTATTTAATGCATATTTTTCCCTCTGAAGAAGACAGACAACAGCTTGGGCTGAATGCCTTTGCTTACTTGAGCCCTGTTAATGAGGAAGCCCTTTCCAAATACAGGTTGTACCTGTCCTGGTGGCACTGACAATGGCGCAATGAGCTCCCTGTCCTAGGCAGGGCGTAAGTCCCTGCTCACAGGAGTGGTGAGAAGCGATGGGGAGGATGGCCAGAGCCACCTCAGCACAGGGCAAGCGATGTGCAGCTCAGGTTTTGGATTAGGAGAGCCAATAAGGGGATAAGCACAGCTCTAAATAAAATGCTGTATGGCCAGAGCCAGCCTGCAGGTTTGAAGGGCTGTGCAAATCATGGCTCCAAATTAATTCTGGGTTAATTACCTGAATGGCATGGGAGAAGCACGGGTTGCTCGGCATCCCCCAGATGGAGCATGTAGAGGGGCTACAGTGACCAAGGGTGGTTACCAAAAGTGGGAGATATTGCAACTAGACACCCAGATCTGGTGCAGCATCACACTGCTATGTTCCCCCCCTCCCCACCACGTAGTGCGGCTCCCAGGGCTGACACTGCACAGGCAGGAGTGGTTGTTCAGCCCCTGCGCCCCGCGTGCCTTGAGAGGTGATGTCTTCAATTAGCTCACACAGTGCCGCGCATCATCTTCTGGCCATTCCAGGGAGGTAATTTGGACGTGATGAAGATCTTTAGTAATCAGATAATTACTATTGATTGCTCTTTAGACATCTTGACGAGGTAATTAGGGGACACTGGAAACAAGCTGGAACTGATTCATTGCCATAACCTTAATCTAAAAGGTTTCCTGATTTTGTTTCTTTTCCTCTATTGCCTGGCATAATTTTAGCTTCATGATCTGCCAGGTGCTTGGCTCACCAGGGACAGGGGCTTTTCTTGTATGCTAACTAGATGCTGAACGTGGTCAAGAATAGCTTGTTGTGTGCTGACTTAGCTCAGAGGCTTCTTCAGTTGGCCTGAGGTAGCACCCTGATTTCATGTGCCCAGGCTTTGGCCATGTCAGACTGGTTGATTGATTGGCTCTTGTAATTAAGTATGACTGAGTTTGGCTGTGCTGGTTTCTAATGGAGCTTGTGTAGGTACTTGCTTCTTCCATGTGGACTACAAGTAGGCTGTTTGTAGGCAGTGGTCCACTGTGGTCTCATTCATTACACGCATATATTTATTTTTCGCTGCAGAAAATGACCAGACTCTCGGCTTACTAGCTTTTAATGACAAGATCAGTTATTTCAGTAACCCTGAACCTGTGTGTTCATACGTACAAAATGCTCCATCACAGTGTCTTGCATTGTTTTGGCACCATCCTGCTTGATGGTTAGTTTCAGAATAGGCATCTGTTGTCTCCTGTATGGCTCTGTCATCAAGCAGTTTGCCAGGAGGCCACAAGCTGAAGGACCAGGGGTATGCACAGATCTTATATCAGCAGCACCTATGCAAATAAGAGCTTCCAAAAAGCAAAACAGTAAAGCTGCCATTAGATGGCCAGTTTGGTGAGCAGTGGAGAAGGCGGATATATTTCTGTATTCAGACAGTGCCTGTATGCAAGGTTTTTGTGTTCAATATAATTGCATGCAATTAAGCTTTCTGCTTACAGGACATGTCAGATAACAGTGTTTCTCACATAGTAGACAGGGGTGTCTGCATCCTTACTGGGCTGCTGCTCTATGATGAGGGTTGTACTCCGATCCGCTAGTGCAATTCAGGTTCACAGCAAAACACAATTCTGTATTTTTTTCTGTATTACATAAATTACAGCATCTACAGCAGTTGATCTTGAGGAATTAAAAGACCAGTGTGCTGTCTTGATGAAACCTGACCATTTTCTTCTTGTTAACACTATACTGCAGGAGGTCCTCCAGCTCGAGCAGCAGATGGGCGGGCAGCTTTTGGAGGAGCCCAAAACTTTGCATTTTAAGGGAAGCACCCACAACCTCCGCCTGTCCATTCATGACATTGCCCACTCTCTCTGGAAGAGCAAACTGCTGGCTAAATACCAGGTGAGCATCACAAATCGTTCACATTGGATCCTAGCAGTGAGGCTTAAAGAAATTCAGTGACACATAGTTGTGTTTAAAAAACACGAGGTGTCAGGCTGCAGTCCTGTGGACCCTTTTTTCCCTGGACCATTTGCAGTGACAGTAACATTGGAGCCCATGGCCTCTGGCCATATAGCATCCATGCCCTGGTCCCGCACCCCTCCCTGTCTATCCTTTTCTTGCTTTCCTCCTGCAGGAGATTCCCTTTTACCACATCTGGAGCGGGTGCCAGAGGAACCTGCACTGCACCTTCACGCTGGAGAGGTTCAGCCTGAATACCCTGGAGCTGGTGTGCAAGCTCTGTGTGCGGCAGGTCGAAGGAGAAGGGCAGATCTTCCAGCTCAACTGCTCCATCTCAGAGGTAAACGACATCGGTGCACTTCTCTACCTCACAGCAACACGGGAGGGCTAAGGAGGTATATCCATTCACACTGTTACCCATTTAGTGCTTCCCAATATTCCTCCTAACTGCTGGAATGGACGTAAAGGGTGGATTAAGTCATTGCTTTGCATCTCTTTTGCATTTTCCCATGGTTTCTCTCATCTGGAAGGGAGCATCCCTCCTTCAAGTGTGGGAGGAGATCTTACTGCTAGTGCCACCTTTCTGTGTTCATGTGGAAGAGCTCTTTGCCTACCACTCCGTATACATCTTGTGAAGAACTGCATGGTCCTATTCCCTAGTGATCCACAAGATCATCATGCCCAGCATTTCACTGGAGTGGGAGGGAGGAAAATAGGAAAATGTCATTACCATATGTTTGTATGAGCCACTCCACTGTGATCCCACATAATAACTGCTGTGCCATAGGGAGTATCGAATGGTCTAGTTGCTGTAGACTTTTCTCCTCAGATTTTGCTGCTGCTACAAATCCTGACTATTATCTTGACAATTTTCTTTTGACAGCTGTGAAGAGCAGGTCCTCAGGCAGCCACCGCTGCTGGCTGACTTGGGGAAGGGCTGGGGGACCACAGACAAAAGTTACTTGAGCTGTAGGGCCCCAGCGTTGCGCGCCATTACCCATAGCATCTGCTTGGTTGCTGGGTGTAAAGTTACATATTCCGCTGGGGATGGCACAGCATTAGAGACAGATGGTAAAACAAGTATCATAAACAATTATTGTAATAAGTGCTGCATTGAGGTAATCTCTAATTTAACCTCACAGAGAAGAGAAAGAACTGAGAGTAACTTTAATGAAATGCAAGTATACACTATAATCATCTTCAGCTGCTTGTGTGTAATAGGGCCTGGTAATGGATTCAGAGGGAACAGGATAATATTCTTGTCTTGTGCTGTGATCCCATCCATCAGGGCTGAATAGAGGGAGGGAATAATACCACTGCTATCAAGGCTGCCTTCTGCAAAATTGCTCCTCCTGGTTGACATGTAGTGATGTTCCTGAGCCCAAGTGAGGGACAAGAGGACCTTGGGCTGCTACAGGCTAGCATGCAGGGTTCTGTCAACCTTGTTACTAGAAAAAAAGCCTAAAACTCATATGATTTGATGACAGAAGTTACCTGGAAGTGTAGTAGCAGCGACCTGGAAATCCATGTGTAGGCCTCTAGGGGCATAAGAGGATGGGGTTGGTGTGATAAAGATACCAGACCAGGCATCAGGAAACCTTAGCTGTGCTTCCTCACACTTCGTTCTGGTGACTGACTAGGTCATGTAAGGGTGCGTTGTAGTCTCTGCTTTCAGCTGGTGTCTGGTTTGCTTTGCTTCTGGTGACTGGAAATTGTGCACGCTATTCCCTTCTTGTGGGGGCAGCAGGCAGCTAGCAGTTAGGTATTGTAGAACCATGCTGGCACCTGTCGTCATTACTGGATCTGCCTCTGTCACCCTGTGGTAAAAATACAGTAACAGTTTCCTGCATCCTCCCTTTTTGGGTTTTCTATTTTGGGCTCTTGTAAGGGATGGAAAACTTTAGCAGATTAAACTGTCTTATTCTGGCTTTATACAGTGTCTTCCACTGGGATTTCAAAAATCCAAATGCAGTGAGTGCCAAAACACGAAAATTTGTGAGGGAAGAGGAAGAATGCAGTAAAGCTCTCCTGCTGTTTGTTTTTGAAGCCCCCTTTTTATCTTGTGCTGTTGGCACTCACCTGAAAGATCCCCAGGGCACTGCCAAGGATACCCAGGCTCCCTCTGCAGCCATCCTGATGGACCTGGGGGAGCAGGCCACCTCGAGAGCCAGGGCAGTGCTGCCTCAATGTGTCGCTTGCGTACCTTGGCCCAGAATAACAAGGCAGGGTTGTCTCCGGCAAGCTTCCTGGGGAGTTTGTGATGGCAAGTTAAACCAGACGTTGCCTGGTTTTGAGTTAATTTCAGGTTTTACAGGGCCTCCCCAGCAGCCAGTTTGACACAAAGCACCAAGGCTTCTTGACATTTAAGGACGAGACTTTTGCACGGGCGTTTCTGGCTGCCTGGGGCTGTGACCTGGGCAGAGGCAGAGATGAAGCAGCTCCCCAGTTTCTGCCAGCCCTGCCTCAGGCCTGTCATGCTGCAAAGGAGAGCAATTGAGAAGGTGGGTGAGAGGTATGAAAGGGGACCCAGGCCTGCTTGCTGCTTTTTCCATGGCCTGCTCTGGTAGCTGGAGGTGACAAGTGCTGCGTGTGGGAGGAGGGTCCCCGCTGCACGGTCGGATGGCCAGTCAACATCGATGGGATTTGGCGGGGCTTTCGGCTGCCCTGCAGGTCCTCGTTGTTTCTAAGCAAACCTAACCATCCAAACTGAACCTTGTCTTACCAGCTACCGAGCTCCTCTCTCTACCTACCTGTGGTGCTAAATCCTTCCAGGCCAAGGAACAGGTAAAATCCTTGCTGGGAAGGGGCTGCTGCCAGCCAAGCCAGGAAAGCCCATTTCTGCCCTAGTAGTAGCAGTTTGCTCCTAAATGTGTCAGAGTGCCTGATCTTTCATTATTTCCAGTAAGTGATTAATTATGCTGGGCTCACTTTTGTCCAGCCATAGTAATCTTCAGCCTCAAAGAAAAAAAAAAAAAAAAAAGAAAAAGAAATCTGTTGTCTACCCAAAGTCAGTTATAAATATTTCTCTTTTTCATCAGTCTAATGTAAACTCTTGATAAGCAGAGGGCTACTCCCCTCTAATGCACGTAAAAGCACTGAGTCTCAGAGGATATACTTGTACAATCGTCGCTGCACTCAGTAACAAAACTGCTGTATTTTTATATTCTTTTGCTTTCTTTCCAACCTACAGGAACCTACTGGCATTGATTATCCTCCCATGGACACAGCAGGCACCGTGACTACCATAGTAGGGCCCAGCGCCTTCAGCATCCCCCTCCCGATCAGGCAGAAGCTGTGCAGCAGCCTGGATGCCCCCCAGACCAGGGGCCATGACTGGCGGATGCTGGCGCACAAGCTGAAACTGGACAGGTGAGTGGGCTGCCTACCTGTGGTCGGGTGGCGAAGGTCCCTGGGTGGGATATGCAGAAGGGTCCTGGTGAAGATGAGTGACAGCAGATGTGTCTGGTCAGACTGACCGCACACGAGGTGAGCACCTTGACAGCACCAGCAGTGGGGATGGGCTGAAATCACAGGGGATCAGGTAGCCTTCATGCAGCTCAAAAAACGAGTTTCCCTTTGGCTTGTTGCAGGTACCTAAATTATTTTGCTACGAAATCAAGTCCCACCGGGGTGATCCTGGATCTCTGGGAAGCCCAGAATTTCCCTGACGGCAACCTGAGCATGCTGGCAGCGGTTCTTGAAGAAATGGGAAGACACGAAACCGTTGTTTCTTTGGCAGCAGAAGGGAATTACTGATGCAGCCTTGGCATGAACAGGAAGGAAAATGCAGGGAGCGGTAATGCCCTGTTATTACAAACGAGAATTGAAATGAAAACCCAGACCAATGAGTTACACAAGAGACATTTCAGAGAAGCAAGTAAACAAACAAACCAACCAAACCAGCCCTGACCTTCACACGTGCTCTCCTTGTACATTATCACAGGATCTGAAAGAAATCATGCAAAGTTGTACCTTGAAAATATAAATCAACCTAATGTTCCTCTCGGCTTGGCTGTACACTGCTTGGTACAGGATTTTACAGTTTCCTAGGAAACGCTTTTTATTGCTATCCAGATATATGGATAAACTTTCTTAACAATCCCAGTTTCTATGGATGTTGTTTACATCAAATTCTGGACAGGGGTAAGGAGACTGTCCATGGCTCTTTATATTTTTTGTTTAAAGCCATTCTAGACAAGGCTATGGACAGTTGGTTGTGGCTATTTCAGCTTATTGGTTTCTGGTGAATTCAGATTTTGGCTACAATTCTGCACATTGATTGTCTCACAATGATTCTCCTGTCATTGTTCTGTTTCCTAGACCTACTTGTAAAAAAAGAAAAGCAAACAAGAAAATCAGAGTTGTAAGAGGTGTGCATCTGGAAAGCAGGTACTCTGGGTGCTAAGCAGGAACACATGTAACATCCTTTTCCTCCCCCAAGGCAGTCCCACTGAGCCTGTGTGGAGAATAGATGTAGGACAGTGGGGAACATAGGATCGGAGTTAATTTTCAAATCACAGTGTAACAACACCCTTTCCACCCCTTTCTGACATGAGGGGGCCGGTTATGCAAATCAGAGTGGTTAGGGGAGAAAAAAGAAACCCAGGAAAAAAAAAAAGTTGCTATGATAATTATTTACTAATTAGTATCTAGTGCAAGGATTATAATTATTATTACCATTATTACTTTATTTCTATTTTTGTCAGCAGCAGAATGAATCATTCCTGTTTTTATGGAACTTGTTGTCCCCTTCCTGAAGGTCTTCTAAGACGTGTCCCTCTGTATGCTGTCTGTCCTTCCCTTCTCCAGCCATCGTACTCCTCCTCCAAAGGCCTCTGCTAGCCCATGAGGGTTGCTCACCTCGTGTAGCATTGCTGTGCCTCATGCCCAGTGCAAAGGTGGTATGAACCGGTGATGCGCTGCTGAAGTCACTGCTCTGCACCTGCAAAAGATCCAACGCATCTGGTTGTGCAAAACATCTCCCTGGGATGTTTTGCACAACCTTGGTGCCTCCAGGTTGCTTGAAGAAGCAAACCTGTCCTGAGGTGGCTGTGAACCAGTGACGGCCTCCCAGTCCAAATGCATGTAGCCCACTGGTTCAGGAGCACGCGTGCAAGCACGTGAAGGCACTGTCGTTGACCACCTGATATGTGTGTCCAAGGTGGGCCTCCATATGTCTTGCTTTGCTTTGAAGTAGTCTGAGAGCCAACAGCCCCCATTAACTTCCCACGGAGCTGCGGGTACTTACTGAAACCCACCTTGTCCCATCCCGTTTGCAGTGGTCACGGCTCCTGGGCGTCACCTGCTGGGTCATTTCTGGGTGAGATGCTCTCGGCGGATCTCTGCTGCTCTTCTCGAGCTCGCTGCAGCCAGGGAAGCCTCTGCCGCCTGGGCCAGTGTAGCGTGGTGAAGTCAAAATCCCATGCCCTGCGGTTTGCTGCCCGCGCTGCGCTCCCTCTGTCACCTGGGCAGGGCGCTGCAGGTCCTCACTGCCTGACCGGGGGATGTTTGTCCCTCTCGGCCACATCTCTCTTGGCCACCACCAACATGAGAAGTGGGAACTTGGCAAAAGGAGCAAACTCTTGCTTTTTGGGCGTCACTGCAAACTTAGTTTATTTTCTGCTCAGTGAAATGACTGGCTCTTTGGTACATGACAGCACATAAGATCAGAGTAGTTTCACTGCCAGGCTTGTCTGTCCTCTACTTCTGATGCAATGGCCACTTTTTTCCACAGACTGCTCCAGATTTCCAGTCAGGCCCTGGTTACTGCTTTTGTACAGGCGTGCCCCTGCCCACACCTCGTCTGCTTCCTGAGACTGCAACACTTCATTTGTGGTTTTGGTTTTGTTTTTCCCCAGGGCTTTCCAGATTGCACCTTTAAAGGTAACTTTGAAAATGTCATTGGTCAAAATGAAAGGAAAATTTCATTTGACCTTTTTCCTCTTTGACATTTCCATAGGCTTGGGACTTTCTGTTTTTACTTTCTCAGCTCCCTGACAGCAGTGGGGTTTTGATTGACCGCTGGGCAGTGATCACAAAGCACTCCCTTACTCATAAGGGGTAACCCAGCCGTCTGCAAACCAGCATTTCAGTCAAAACCAGAGAGCAGAGGACGCACATTTTAACTTTCAACATCTGTCTGCATTTTGCTTTCCTCTGTGGAGGTGCCAAGGGCGTCCTTTCCACAAACAAACATCATCTTTTTCACCTTGGGCATCTGATGGTGGTATCATTGTAATGCTAATGGCAATCTTGCTTTCGACTGGGGTTTGCAGCTCTGCCGTTTCCCTGTGGTTTTTACTCACCTTGGAGCTCTAAAACGGCTCTCTAAAGGTTGGTCTCAGCTTTTCTCCCTCCTGTGCCAGCTTCAGGTGTAACCAGCTGTACCTAGTTCATGTTTCTTCCCCCTTCCTGCATATCCTTCCTGCGTGACTCCTCTTTCAAGGCAGGTGCAGGAGCTGAACTGTGCTTCAGCCCTTTCCCCTCTGGCTCAGTCTCTGCTAGCTGGTGCCCAGAGTCCCTGCTACTCCTGGCTCTCGGCTTTTGCTCAGTGGGCAGCGTGGGCACCCTACTCACAGGGGCCTTGTCGGAAAGGCTCTCGTTGTTATCTGTATCGCTGCGAGTTGATGCTCCTTTTGCCAGCTCTCAGACCTACCCCACCCAATGCTTCCTTCAAGAAAAACAGATGAGCAACTTTTTCTAGAAATACTCTGGGGCAATTCCCTTTTACAGCATTGCTGTAAAGGGGATTTATTGAGAGGAAAAGGCACGCTCTGATTAAGAGGAGCCTCCACAGAGGTAGATGGTTGTCAAGAACATCCCTAGGGCAGCGGCATTGCAATTGCTAGGAGGTGGGGCTGCTCTCTGTCCATCCCAACTGCTCAGAAGCCCACTGCAGTCACAGCTGGGATGGTACCTTTGTCCCCTGCTCCGTCAGCTTTTGCAGGGTCCCAGCGCAGTGCCGTGCGAGGCGGGAACGTTTCCTCCAGAGAGCCATGCCTCGTCCCAGCAGCTCGTGCGTTGCCACCGCTGCTCGTGTCAGCTCCCACCTCACCTGACACCCCCTGCATTAGTTTTTCCCATGTTTTAAAATTTTTTTTTCCTGGGGTACCGCACTGGCCGGGCGTGCAGCTGGTGAAAGGGCTCTGGGACGGGCCAGCAAGTGCGCACCCCTCGGCATCCCCATCCTGCTATCGCAAGGAGGGATGCCGAGAGGCAAGGGTGGCCAGATCCGCTCTGGCTATTATTTTTGGTGGCAGGAAAACCAGCAGAGGTCCATCCGCCTGGATTGCGTGGACACAGTGCCATCTCGTGGGGCTGAGCCCGGCTCCAACGCGCCACTGCTGCTGCTGCGAGCAACGCTGCTCGGGAAAAGGCTTCCCTGGGGGACAGCTCTTGACAAACGGCAAAGAAGTGTGGCAGACAGAACCGAACCTTAAGAGTTGTTGTAACATTTTATGTCAGGTAAGCACATCTACACAAAAAAAGAAAAAAAAAATAGGCTGCAGGCTGCTTATCCTCCAGTTATTATGACTTTTTTTAGATGCTTATCCTTTTAGTTGTCCACCTTTGGGTATGTGCTGTAGCAGTTACGCTGCTCTTCACACCATCCTTTCATTAAACATTGGTTGCTAGTGCTATAA